TGCATGTGGTATATGTGTATATAAGAAGCACATATATACATATGTATCAGAAATTGATTTTTGCACTGTGACAAGTATGAAGAAATTATTTATAGCCACTAGAGAATACAAACGTGAGAACTACCCTGGTTTAATGCTAATGATTTTTTGTTTGTTCATTGGAGAGTCTTGCTAGGTACCCAGGTTGTCCTCAAATTCAAGATCCTCCTGCCTCAGCCACCTAAGTGTTAAGAGTATAGGTATGCACCACCATGTTCAGGTAAAGATTTATTTTTTGGGTGAATGACAGACCAACTAGAATAATTCCAAGAAGCTTCTTGAGAGTGACTCTTTATCACTGAATTACAGAGCCACAGTAGATTGAAAGATCTCTAACCATGACCATTCTCAGGAGAGGCTGAATATGAATGTGAATACTCAGTCAATGGTTATCTAGGTCTCAGTCAATGGCTATCTAGACCCCGGTGTTACGCGCTAAGCAACTGTCTCTTACATGTAGGGAGGTCATATAATCTGTCATCAAAACTGTAACACACTTTGGATAATGCAATGGGGTAGGGCCTGGAAAATGCTGTGGTCCTAATTCTGCTGATTGCTGGACTGTCATGGGAAGATCAGGAGATGAAGTCACTCCTTGTATGCAAGAAGTTTCTGAATGGACCATACAGGTAACACACTAGTTATTCCTGGTACCTGACCATCAGAGGCTGCCCATGCAACTATCCCATAATTAATCAAGACAATTTGCTGTCAGGCAGCAATATGACTGCCAAATCTTCCATTTTAGAAAAAGAAACTGAAAAATCAACTGTGTAGGGTGTTAATTTCTAAACATGGAGGACCATGTAATTAAAAACTGAAAATACCCTAAAGTCCATACATGTCCTTGTAACTCTAGCTAGGCGGTCATAAGTTTCTGACCTCTGTCTCTCAGAGGGGTAAAGAAAACCACTGTTCTTAAAGTGGAAAGGGCTCTTAGGACCATCTGCATCAGTCACTTACATGTATTTTGGCCCCAAAGAAAGAAGAACTGGAAGACTTGGGCAGTGCCCAAATTTATGAATTCATCTATTTTAAAATGCTGACAGAATGTACCTACAAGTCAATCTGATTTTGCTTTTGCTAAAATCCATAATGTCTTTTAAAAACTATCATGGCTACTTGGACTAGGTTGGCTGGTTCTTATCTATCAAATCAGTATGGGTCTTTATTTTCATCACAGAGGTTATGGGCAGGAATGGAATTGTTGTCTTTAATCAAAAACACAATCTTTTGCAACAGCTGTCCTCCCCGCTCGTCGTCCTCCAAGCCCAGTAAACCAATGTCCTGTCTGGCATCAGCCATGGGTCACATGACACCATTCACTTCAAGGAGCAAGGGGAAGGGGGATGGGCCAATCAAGGGTTCTATGTGGACATGATCACAGGAGTTAGGCAGACTCTTTCTACAAGTAAAATTAGACCTCCCAGGAAGGAAGAAAAAAGGATTTGTAGGTGCATTGGTAGGAATTTGACCATCTACCACAACTTGAAATTCATTCCTATAAACATTGTTTTGAGCACCTATGAAATACCAAAACTTGATCCTATGAGCTGAGATCTCTACCCCCCAACCTAGATCTTGCATTCTTGAGGGGGTGGTAGAGACGACTCTTCAAAACCCTCATATTTATAAATGCTTGAAAGGAACATGGGGAAGAGAGAGAAGACAGAGTGGCAGGTTCGGGAACCAGGTTAAAATTTGACATTTATGGTAGAACACACAAAGGTCAAATGTTGATGGAGGAGAGTAGGACTTCAGAGCAGTAGGGAAGTGGGATCCAAGTTGCATGGAGGGGGAAAGATTCTGCATTACAGGGACCACTGAGAGGAAATGTCTTCAGGGGAATAGGGAACCAAGGCAAGGAACTACACAGAGGAGTCACAGGGGCTGACTTCTGCTTTAGAGGATCATTCAGACACATTGCTTGAGAATGAACCATTAGGTCAAGAATGGAATCAGAGACATTAGTGCTGAGATAGTGCAATGCCCAGGCAACAGATAATCAACTGCTGAGCAGAGAAATATCATTCTTCAGTATAGTAAATACAAAACAAATTAACAAAAAACCCAGGGTCAGAAATGTTCCTTCACGTATGTGTATCCCTGTTGCTAATATTGACTTGAAGCTAGAACTGGAAAGAACTGTGGGTCGTTTTCATTTCCATTTGTATCAACCTCAAGTGTGTTAGTGTAATCCTTGAGCTGGATGCCAGTGTCTGTGAGCATATCTACTTTCTTCACTCTGATTTGCAAAACACCTTGTCAATCAGTATTTCATGCAAGCAAGGAGAGATATGAGGAATGCTTTATGATGCCTTGTTTCTGGATAAAGTGACCATATTAAAAATGCAGACTGGGGAGATGGTTTGGTGATTTAAAAAAGTGCTTGCTGCATAAGCATGTGGACCTGAATACAGGCCTACAATGCCTACATAAGTAGCCAGCCATGGTGAAGCATGCCTCAAACCCAAGTGCTGAGGGGGACAGAGACAGGTGAATCCCAGCGCCCCACTTGCCAGCCAGTCTAGTCAAAATGAAGAGGCTCTGGTTCATTGAGAGACCCTTTTCCAAAAAAATAAGGTGGCAAGAGACAGACAAAGATATCCTAAGTTCACCTACAGTCTCCACATGTACATGATATGTACATGTATGTGAGTACACCTGCACATACATGCATACACACATACACTAAATGCTGCATGATCATGCTTTTCTATTTACTTTTAATAACCAGGACTTTATTCCAAGAAACCTGCTCACTTAGGCATTTTCTTCTGTGATGTCTTTTGTGATCCCTATTGAAAGATGAAGCTATGAATGAATGAGGAGACACCAAAGGGATAAAATGGAAGAGGAAGCAGATGGTGAATTTGCATGGATGGGGAGATAAAAGATGAGAAGGCAGAGTAAAAGACACACAGACGGGAACTTCGGTGACCCTGCAGCAACTTGCAAAAGAAGAAAGAGCAAGCTAGTGCTTTTCCAGCCACATGCATGGATGCTTACAGCTGTCCTTTATTGTCTAGGGAATTCTTGATTGACCCAGGGTTCAGACAGCAATTCCAGTGCCACTTCTTGGAGAAGCACAATAAAGTCAGAACTTCCTTGTTTAGAAATTAGCTGCCCAGGGTCAGGGAGGTAGTTCAGTTGCCATAGTGCTTGTTGTGCAAACATGAGGACCTTAGTTCAATCCTCAGAACTCATGTGGAAAAAAAAAAACTTAAAAATACCCAAACATGGTTGAAACATCTGTAATCCTATCACTGGAAAGGTGAAGACAAGCAGATCTCTGGGGCTCACTGGGCAGCCAGGCTAGTCCAATTATGAGGCCCAGGTCAGTGGAAAACTTTGTCCCAAAAAACAAGGCAGATGATGCCTAATAATGACAAACAAGGTTGATTTTTGACCTTCATATGCACTGGCATATGTATACTCCACAACACAAACACATATGTGCACACACAAACACACAACATAGAAACCAGATGTTGTATAAAGAAAATTATGCTGCAGTTAAAACACATTTATTGAAACTCTATAAACTAGTTAAATTAGTCATGCATTAACACCATATAATATATATAAACATATACAGATATATGCATGAAGTAACTCTTTTCTCTAATACTCATCATCTTCCCCACCCCCTCCTGCTCTCTGGTGCACATCCCCTCTGGCATTCTTAAACAGAACTGTCCTTTAACTAACTAGAATGATCTCCTTAACACTACTAACAGCACAGTAGCATAGATAATTGTTTTAAACCCAATACAAGGCATTAATACTGAAGGCATTATTAAAGGCAGCACATCTGGGGCAGTATTTGTTATGCTCTTCTTTTAACACTGGATAAACTGAGACCTAGGGATATAAAGTGGCTTGGTCTAAGTCACAGAGTGATCTGGGTCAAAAGATCCAGGTGTGGTAGCAGGTACCTTTAATCACGGCACTTGAGGGACAGAGGCAGGTGGATCTCTTTGAGGCCCCGCCTGGTGAGATCCTGTCTCAATAAAAGGCCTACTGGTACAGAATTGGTTGAAAATTCATGGTCCAGACATTTTTAGCCTGTGGCGTTTCAGCTAGGCAATTTTATAAAAAGAAAAAAATAATTAAAATAATAAAAAATGTTTAAAGCCTTGGATTTATTAGTTTTCTCTATAGTATCTTTTCTTTCATTCTCTACCCACCACCTTCAGACATATGATTTAAACGTTTTTCAGTTTTCTTTATTCAATCAAAACATGTTGAAAAGATATTAAGAAAACTTTTTTCAGCCCTCTAAGAATCTTGAAAATCTTGCCACCACCTCACTGAGCTTTCTTCAAGCATATTTTAATTTTTGCCATATACTGATATATTCTCACTTTGTCAAAATCATCATGACTAGTCTAGTTTATAACCCGACTATTTTATTTACCAGTTAATTTACAGGACTTTTTATTCTGTTCTTGCATGTCTCAGATTATTTCATGTTTATATGGGACTACTTAGGAGCACTTCAGAACTTGTTAAAAATCAGCTATTTTCCATTGCCCTTGAAAAAGCCGATGCGTTTTCTAAATGTGCAGATATATATTTCTTGAGAATGGAAGGTGATGCAGGTTTTCAGTTGCTCTCAGCCCCCTCCGCCTGTAAGAACGAGGTATAGACTTAAAAACTCGGCTTCAGGTTCCCACCTGTAAAAATGTCTTGAGTAGAGAAGTGAAGGCAGGGGCTGGGAAGAAGCGAGGGCTCTAAAACGTGTGCTGTGGACGCCTGGTTGTGGATGCCGGTGGACAATGCTGGGTTCTGGTCTGGTCCTCCTGAGGCATATTCCTGCATCCTTTGCAGATCTTGGCAGGGTTCCTGTGAGCCCCGCTGGAGCCGCCAGGAGGCGCTGTGGCCCCGACGCGCAGCGGCGGAGGCGCTGGGCGGACCCTCCCCTTGCATCCTGGCACCGCCCTGTCCCAGGTTCCTTTGCGGGTAAACAGACATGGCCGACGAGGGAGAGCCTCAGGACGCTGCGCACAACATGGGCAACCACCTGCCACTGCTGCCTGGTAACCTGGGACCCGCGCCCCACAGCGGGTGGAGGGTGAGGCCCGGAGCGGTCCCCGGCAGGACAGCCAGGGACAGCGTCAGGGGCACGAAAGCGGCGAGAAGCGGCCTGTCATCGGCCTCACCCCGCGGCTCTCGGCGCTGCTCCCCGGCTTCCGTCTCCCTGGCCGTGGGGAATGTTAGGGGCGAGGGGCGTTTGTTGCCCAGGGCAGGGATCCTGTCCTCCCCATCCTTATCCCTGCACTTATCCTAAGTGGAAATGCTCTGGAACTGGGCGAGGTGGGGGACCGGACCCCATTAGCAGCCGTTTCTTTTTTCCTGCATGTCTTGTTTTTTAGTAAGACTGACAGCTAATATGTACTAAGCACTAATCACCCTATGCGTCTTCAACTAAATGCTTTGCGTGCATTTCTGCTTTGGTTGTTAGACCTGTCACCTGTTCGTATCTTTGCTTGTGGACGAGAAATTGTGTAGAGATTAAATTTATGGACATTCAGTGACTTGCAGAGTCACCCAGTTGCAGAAACCGGACTCTGAGGCGTGCTGGGTTGTCAGTACAGCTGGTACGTCTTAACTACTCTGTGGAGGCAGTATTTGATGGATGTTCTCAGGTTTGCAGATATATGCTTTCTTCTAAGATACTTAAAAGAGTGGTATTAAAGACTCTTTCCTGTTTACTTTATGGTAGTTTAAACCTTGGCCTCATTGGAGTACTGAATATTAAAAGGGCAGGAAGGAATTATGCTTAACACAGAATTCTGGCGACAAGACAGTATGACTGAGTACATTCCACATATGCCAGGCAATGTGTTAGATTTTGTTGGTATGAAAAATTTATGATACACAAGATTCTACCTAAGGAGTTTCACAATTGAAGTGAGGCTATTGTGTATCATTAGACTCCCAGGTGCAGTTCATTTAGGGCCAGATTAATGGATGCTGTTAGGATTCTTCAGTAGTGTTTCTTTGTTATGCTAGCATGGATCCCAGAGTCTCCCACATCTAGGCAAGCCCTCTACCTGTGAGCTGTGCCCCCCACCTCTCTTACGATTCTTCAGAGGTAGGGACTGTTCAGGGGGGTCAGAGGGATTGAAAAAAAAAATCTTGGGAGGTAGATTTGGAGACACCCAAAAACATACACTTAGAATAATGGTTGAGGAAGGTAAGACTTAGGGAATAGGTTGGTTCTAAATTGTTGGAAAACTTGCATCTTTTGTCATTGGAGTTCAAAGCTTTTCTTGTGAGTTATCAAATGATTTCCAGTTTCAGGTAGTTGCCATGGGAAAGCTGCGCTAAGAGTATTATTGTGTCCCTAGGTGGTAGTGTGGACTGAAGGGGAAAATGCTGGGTGTGTGCCCACCATATAAGAGGCACCTTTTTTGTAAAACAGAGTCAGTAGTTGTTTTAGAAGCTGTCCTAACTGAAGTGGCATAAAAGTAGGTATGTCATCCTTCAACAGAAGAGATTTCAGAGACCTCATCTCTACTGTGAAATGCAGGAGAATGGTGACTAGGAGGAGGAGGACACTAATGTTCTGTTGGCATTCGCGTGGTGCTTCTGCATGACATGAATCAGCAGGCTTCATCCTGGTGACTGTGAACAATCAGTGTGTGGTTTTTCAGTTTAAAAAGTCAGAAATAAGTGGGCCCCGAGATGTTACAGATTAAAATAGCTTTCCAAATGATAAGTTTTATTTCTGGAAAAACACTGGTTTGTCCCAGAATTGAGGTAATGTAAGTTGCTTTGAAGGGTAATTGTCTTTAAGTGCTAAGCAAGTTGCTTAATATTTTAGGTGTGAAGACTCCATGCTGGCCAAATGATATTCCAAGACAAACATAACTGAATGGAAGAAGTGGGGTTCAGCAATATTTATGAGAATAGCTACCATATATAACTTTTATTCACTTAAAAAGTCAGGAGAATGAAAATGTAAATTTTAAAGCTAATTCATCTTTGAGCTAATAGTTCATTTTTAAAGTTGCTGTAGTAGAGGTGAAAGTGGGTCTCTTCAAATGTCAAGTAAAACCTAGGTTTCCAGAGTTATGGATGCAAAAACTTAGATTCAGAATGTTTTTCTTATCAATTTATTTTTTGTTATCTCTTGATGAAACTTCCTGTTCTCAGGAAAAACATGTTAAGAAATGTTAAGCCACTGACTACTACGTATAACTTGAAATAATTATGTTATCCTTTTTGACAAAGCATCATATCTAGGAATCCATAAGAATAAGTATAAAGTCCCAGGCAATTACCTATGGCAAAATCTTTGTATTTTCTCTCAGGGACCTAGTTACAGGTGGTTTGATCTAAATAATGATTTCGTAAAAGAAACAATGACCAATTAGTAATGAAACCTTGGGGATTTAGAAATTTATTTGGGGCATTTAAAAATATATGAATAGAAACAAGACTTAGTGAGTTTTATGAGTTTAGGCCAGTGTTTCCCAACCATGAAACTCTCAGCGCTCCAGCCTGGAGAATTCCTTATGAGATGAGCCTTAATGCAGGATGCCTAACAGCATCCCTGGCTACTCCGGATTCCCAGAGGATTCTTCTAGTTGCGATAATCAGAGATAACCTTCAGACAGTTCCAAATACCATTAAGAGTAAATTCACTGTTGGTTAAGAATCCTAGAATGGGAAATGTACCCATAGTTGTCACAAGAACAGCTGACTCCCACTTGATAGAAGAACCTTTCTCTGTGGTACTGTTTTCTTTTCTTTCTTTCATCTCTGTCATTGGTGACATTAGGTTTTAAAGGTGATCCACTTAGTTTTATAATTTAAAAAATGTCTGGAGAAGTTCTTGAGGTTTTCCTTCAAATATATTTTATGCTTTGTGCTTTATTTTTAAATTTGAAGTTACAAAGCAAAGTTTGTAGAGAATAACTGCAAACATTTCATTTTAAAGATGATCGTGACAGCCACGAAATAGTATCCCTGGAGAGAGCAGTTCCTTCTACCCGGTTCAATCGACAGGCTTTGTTGTTTTAATTAACAAATCTTTGGTTGATTGCTTTGTTTCTTCCTTGCTTTGTTTCTCATGGAGAAACTCTTTACAACTGGAGTTTGAAAGAACCTCATAGATTGTGTCGTCGAGCTTGTCGTTTTTCAGATGAGGAAGCTGAGGTTTTAATCGGGTAGAATTCATTATGTAAGATGTGAAAATTAATTACTGGTGAGAGAGAAGTTTCCCATACAGGAGATTTTCACATCATTTACTTAGCTATTTACCCCGTAAGTCCAGGTGCCCTAATACACATCCTTTTAAATGTAGGCTGTACCTGGTGTCTTGCTTTCAAAGAGGACAGTGTGAAAGGAGGAAAAAAGTCATTTTACTTTACAGTGGAGGAACATGACAACTGTTTCCACAGCCAGGTGATCAAGGTTAACATCATAGGGGTAAGTCAGGTTGACAGCATGTACCCTCAATATAATGTGAGGAAACAGGACGGTCCTTCTCCACCTGACATACATAACCTTGGTATAAGTCTGAGAATTACATCAAGCAGATCCCAACTGAGAGATCCTGTGTAAAATACCTGACATGTACTCCTCAAAATGGTCAAGGCCCTCAAAACCAAGGAAAACTGACCAGCCACCCTGCCAGAGGAGGCTGAGGAACCCCTAAAAATAAAGTGGTATTCGTACAGGAATTGGAGATTAGGAGATTTAAATAAAATTAGATGTTGATTTACTAGTAATGTGCCAATATTGATGACTTAGCTGTGACAAGATACCAATTGAATAGAAGATGCTAACTGTAAGGAAGGTGATGTCTTGGCATACTTGAGCACTATACTGTTTTCCCCCACATTGCTGTAAATCTTAAACTGTCCTAAAGTGGAAAGTGATTTTTAAAAGAGAGGAAAGTCTCTGTGGCAGAAACCAGCCTGAGCCCCAGAGGCTCTCTGCCCCTGCACAGTACTGTGATTGCCAAGTGCTTTGTAAGATCTTCTTTCCTCAAGAAGGCATTTGAAAGGGATCACAGATGTGACTTTTTTATGCATCTCATTTTTTTCTTTTACTATTCTACCTCTGCAGCAGAGAGTGAAGAAGAAGAAGATATTGAAATGGAAGTTGAGGACCAGGATAGCAAAGAAGCCAGAAAACCAAACATCATAAATTTTGACACCAGTCTGCCAACCTCACATACAGTATGTAATTTAGTAACTGACCAAATATAATAGATGTACTTTTGACTGTGGGTAGAAGTTCCTAAATACAAGTGACTGATTTAAGGATTCCTGGATCTTAGCTTACTCTAGAAACTATAAGGATCTGGACCGTTTTCCAGTACATTTTTTAAGCGACTTAGTACTATGTCTTCATGTGATTCTTGGCTGTTTTCTAATATATAAACATAAAAACTTTAATTTTTAACCTGCTAATGCTATATCCTAGTATGAGTCTTTGAGAAACTGTCACCCTCTGTATGATTTTGTTAGTAACTGAGCCATTATGTGTGTTCTCTGTAATACTGGGGTGCCAGGTGCTGTTTTACACAGTCACATGTTATATTTATCAGTTGTTGTATGTGGACACAGAGATACTTCTTGGTCGAAATAAGATAATTTGGACTATAAAACATTAAAGTGTGATTCTTCATAAAAGATTGGGAATTTTTCTCAGTAAGTACATTAAAAATTAGTTTCATGCCATGTGCTTATATAATCAAGTTTATTGTTTAAATAAATGTGTGTTCTGTTTACGTATTTCATTTGACTTGGGTTTTAGTGTGCTAAGCTTGTATGTGTGTTTGGAGTCTGTCATAACTGTATGTGTTCTCCAATAGTATCTGGGAGCTGATATGGAAGAGTTTCATGGCAGAACTTTGCATGATGACGACAGCTGTCAGGTGATTCCAGTTCTGCCCCAAGTGATGATGATCCTGATTCCCGGGCAGACATTACCACTGCAGCTTTCTCACCCTCAAGAAGTCAGTATGGTGCGGAATTTAATTCAGAAAGACAGAACCTTTGCAGTCCTTGCATACAGGTAAAGCACTGGGTAAATCTGCTTCACATATAGCCCTTCCTGTTGTCACAGCCTAGGTCAGCCCTGAAGGCGAAGGAGACTGAAGTTTTGCATGTAAAGGAGATGTTGGATAAGAATGGGAAGTTAAAAACTTGTCCAGTAAAAGTCCAAATTGGAGTATCTTATTTTCATTATTAAGTCAAACATTTACTGCCATACACAATTTAACTGTATGCTTCTTGAAAAACTTTCACTCATTTTATGAAAAACATTCCTAGAATCTGAGCTCCAGAACTGTCTTTATTCAGAGGCAAATGGAGCTTTTATATTTTAATGTAAAAGATTACTAAACGGTGGTTTCTTTTTTCCCCCTCTCAAAACTCACAAGTTGTACCAGTACAAACCAGTGGTAAACTGAAGCTGTCCTTGAAGTCATCCATGGCAAATGGCAGGAATGTGTTGTAGAGGCAGGAAAGGAAAGCAGGAAGCCCTCTCCATATACACAGCAGCAGTCACCATGCGCTAAGAAGGTGAAAGAATGTTCGGCTTGGGAAAGGACAGTTTAAAAGTCTTTCAGTCTTAGGTCATTTCAGTGACTACAGTGTCTACTCTCACGCTGCAACTTTCAAGTTGTACGTCCAGGCGCCTCCTTGTAGAGCAGCTTTGCAGTGAGGGTTGGTTACTATATTGTTTTTCCATTCATATTGCTTTGGCAGTTTTGCATATTTAAAAGCCAAATGTTAAAAACTCCTTTTAAACTTTATCTTGAAGTAATGTACAAGAAAGGGAAGCACAGTTTGGAACCACAGCAGAAATATATGCCTATCGAGAAGAACAAGAGTTTGGAATCGAAGTAGTGAAAGTGAAAGCAGTTGGGCGGCAGAGGTTCAAAGTCCTTGAGCTGCGAACACAGTCAGATGGGTAAGAAACTCTGAATGTTTTATTGCTTTGAGAACATCTTACTATGAGATGGCTTTGTGGTCCTTTACTTTTACTGACCCCTTGTATTTTGTAACTTTTTACTAGTTGTCTTTGCTTTCTAAGGTGTAGGCCAGTAGTTTCCAACCTTCATGTTTATCCTAACCACAGCTTCCATCTCCCAGCCCTAGGATGTGATTTAATGTGGGGTAAGGCAGTTTTCAAAGTTATCTGAGGTGACTCATATCCCTCCAGGTTTAAGAAGGGTACTGTGAACTCCAAGGGATGAGGCATTTGGGCCACAGTTTCTTTGGGATGGAAGACCTTTGCAGAATTAAGATGGTGAGGCCAAAAGCTTCTGAGCCTGTGTCTCACCAGGACAGCCATGCTCTCTGACAGCCCATGTCTCACCAGGATAGCTATGCTGACAGCCCGTGTCTCACCAGGACAGCTATTCTGTCGGCAGCCCGTGTCTCACCAGAGCAGCTGTGCCATGAGCACCTATGCACTGCTGCACCTGTGCTGTATTCAAGAGCACTGTTTGTAGCTTTTGCAGTGTGAATTTTCTGTCCTCCAGAGATGTCTTACATGAGTAATCTGCTGTCTCTGCACATTGTAAAGTTTAGAAGTTCTTTGAGTGCAGTGTGGTGCAGTTCACATGGTTATTTTTTCAGAAGATCAAAGAATATTATGGTTTGTTTGGTTGCTGTTATTTGGTTGGTTAGTTTGGTTTTGGCTAAATTCAGTTTTCTTAATCTATCTTGGAAAAGGACATGAAATAAAACCAAGCATTTGTCTTGATATGCAGTGTCATATCTTAAGGGGCCAGTTCCCTCTGGCACATATGAAGCCCTAATAAAGTTTTAGATTTGTGGGTTCTTCCTAGTCTTAGGGAATTGGTCATTGGTCTGTAGTTAAAGTTGAAAATTCTGTCAGACTTCTCTGCAGTATGATATCACAGCACAGGAAGGTTTGAGGATTTTAAGACTCAGTAAGAACATGAGCTACATGAGGGCAAGAATTTGTTGTTGTCAGTTCTGTTTACCTAGTAAGCACCTGTAAATACTCATCATGAAAGTGCAGGTGGGTCAGGCAGCATTTTGTGACAATAAATTGTGTAAAGGAATATCATATGGAGTTTCTGGACTTGGGGGGCTTCATTCTTTCCTGATATTTCCTTCCAGAGCATTCATTGTGCAAACTTGTAACTTTTACAGGGCTGTATGCCTGACTTCCTCAGATGGGCTGCTGGAGAACAGTAACTGAAGCTTACTTATAGTCCATGTTTAGGACATAATGTTCCATGAATGAGTGGAACAGGGATCTCTTGAGGGTTCTTTATTGTGGTAATTAGCTGGCTGCTTTGTTACTGTGGATTTTGCTAACAGCTCCATTTTTAAATTCTTGTCTACATAGTAACACCATTTTGATTATCTTCTAATATTTTCTAGAAACTATAAAAGTAAATTGCCTTGGAGAAAGTGTACTTCTCTGGCTATGTGACTTCAATATTTGGTTGTGTAAAAACAGAACACAAGATGGCAGTAGGTCACTTTCTGAAAATAGGTCAAGGAACAGAGTTTTCCTCTAGTGAAGTTTGACTCTAGTAAAGACTGACATCAAACTGACACGGTTAGACAAGCCTTGGGAAGGGGAATTTGCACCAGTATTCCACAGACCTACTATACTAAGACCTCTCAAAGAAATGTGTTGGTCTCAATTTTTAATATCCTCCACTCCCTGTCCTTATAAATAGGTTTGTTTCCTCCACCTGAATGTCTGATGACAAAGAATGTGAGAGGCAGGCAGCCTAGAGAGTGGGGAGGTGGAGGGTTGGAGTACCTAAGAATGCCTAAAAGTTAGAAATGTCAACATAATTAGTAGTAGCCTCTATGGTGATTTTTAAAAAAAATAAACATTCTATTTCCTTTATGTCTGAATATTTATCTGAAATGTAAAATATTTTTTGATTCCTCAGACTGAAAATCTGTACCTTAAGTTAGTAACTACTATGATTTATTAAATGAAGTTATCTTCTGAAAATGCCTTATATATTAATATTAGCATTTGGTAGATTGGATTAAAAAAGGAACTTGAAAAAGTCTTAGTATTTAAAATTGTCCTTAGTATCAAGACATTTGCAGTTGAGTTAGTTACCTAAAATTGAACCACATTCTTGATTCTCTGTATTTTAGAATCCAGCAAGCTAAAGTCCAGATTCTTCCAGAGTGTGTGCTGCCATCGACCATGTCTGCAGTTCAGCTGGAATCACTCAATAAGTGCCAGATGTTTCCTTCAAAACCTGTCTCTTGGGAAGACCAATATTCATGTAAATGGTGGCAGAAATACCAGAAGGTGAGACAGTCATTTATGACTCTTCTAGAATTAAAGACCGGCTGCTTTTTTTCCTGCTTTAAGAAAGAATCTCAGCTCTCATGATTCATTTTCTAAACACCTTCTGTTGCAGAACTAATGCTGCATCTGATCATAACTGAAGCTTCTAAAAGTTTTGCAGGGAAATATTTATGAAAAAGCAGCTTGTAATAGTAGTAAAGTGTCAACAGTTGTTACATATTCTTGATACTGTTTATCATTTATGTGTTAATAGCTTTTGGTTTTTAATGACATAAGAAACTTCTAAAAGTATGATCAGTCACACTTTTGCTATTCAGTATGTTACTTTAAGGAAAGGTTTCATTTGGGATAGCACTCAGTGATAGTAGAAAAGTAGAATATTAGCCTTCCAGACTTTTGCTAGGAAAGCTTTTTAGTAGTTTGTAAGAAGCTGTTAACCACACACAAAAAAAAATGGACTTAGAGTAGGTTCTGTTAAAAGTACTGCTTGATTGTGGCTTAGAATGTAACTCAGTAGTTGAGTTCTTGACTAGTGTACTCAAGGCCCTGGGTTTGATTCCCCAGCACTGGGAAAAAAAAAAAAAAAGCTTGTTTAGACATTACTTCCTAAGAAGTATTTCCTTTGACTAAATGATTCTTTCTCTTAGAGAAAAAAAAAAAAAAAGATACCTAGCTTTAGATATAAAATATGGTTCCCCAATGTGTAATTTTTACATAAAGGAAAAGTGTACTAATTCCTAAATTTAGAATAAGTTGGCTTTTTGATACTTTAAAAATACACAAAGATTGTTTCAGTTATAACCATAAAAATCCTCTTGATCATCCCTTACTCTGCGTCAGGGTAGTGTGAGGGTTTGTAAATAATGTGGTGTCCTAAATTAATGCAAATTAGTATGGAGTTTCCATGAAAGGGCCTCATGCTCTAGTCAGTGTACTACCATGTTTAATGTTCTTTGGGTAAAATTCGTAACTTCCAGAGTTTTATGCAGAATGGGTGCTTGATGGTCTCATAACTGTTAGGCTGTGTGGGCAATTTTTGTCTTGTTTTTCTGCATTTTAGTTAACCGTTCATGCATAGTGCAGTATCCTTTAGTGAGTGTTTCCACCAAGATCCTAATAAAAAGTATTAATTAGACTGCTTAAACACAAAGGAGCCCTAGAAGTAATCTTTTGAAAGTTTAACAATTATCACTGACTGCCATAAGCCATAGGCAACCTTGGTGTATCTGTGTAGTACTTCCCTTTTCCAACTTAATGCAGACATTTTCAATGACTTACCATTATTTATTAGTAGAACAGAGGGAAATTTTGCTCACATGAAAATTTTAAGCATATTGTTAGAATGTTAAGAGTATGTCAAAGATAGCTGGATGAAAGTTTAACAATTATCACTGACTGCCATAAGCCATAGGCAACCTTGGTGTATCTGTGTAGTACTTCCCTTTTCCAACTTAATGCAGACATTTTCAATGACTTACCATTATTTATTAGTAGAACAGAGGGAAATTTTGCTCACATGAAAATTTTAAGCATATTGTTAGAATGTTAAGAGTATGTCAAAGATAGCTGGATCAGTATGTGAACACAAAGGAGT